ATCTAGCAACACCAGTGCTGCCACACCACCCCGATCCAGATGCCTACGGAGATCGTCAGTCAGGGCGACCAGCACCGTCTCTGTCCCATGACCCGGGCAGAAGCCGGACTGGAAGGGATCGAGGACAGAAGCATCATCCAAAAAGCCCTGTAGCTGTAACGCCACTGCTCTCTCAATAAGTTTGCCCAAATAGGGCAAATTGGACACCGGCTGATAGCTGGCCAATTCGGCTGGGTCCAAAGATGGCTTTTTCAAGAGAGGGCAGACCATTGCTTCCTTGAGTGCCTTCGGGAACCGCCCCTCCAAGAGGGACGTGTTGATAATCTCCCACAGGACACCTCGGAACCCCTCATGGCATACTTTTATGAGCCAGGAGGGGCACGGATCAAGGTCACATGTGGTTGGGCGTACAGATACGAGCAATCTGTCAACTTCCTCCAGACTGAGCAGGTCAAAACACTCTAAACCTGGCGCCAAAGGCGTGCAAGGGGCTTCAAGTTCACTCACTGTTTCAATTGTGACGGGGAGGTCACGACGGAGCGCCAAGACTTTGTCTGCAAAATAGCTCGCAAATGCCTCACAGCCAATATCCAATTCCCTCACATTTTGCCTGCCCTGTGGCAGAGCTGTCAAAGACCGAATTATACTAAATAATTGGGCCGGGCGTGAGCTAGCAGATGCAATCGAGGTCGCATAGAAATATCTCTTTGCGGCTTTGGCTGCCATCTCATAGGCTTTCATAAGCGTCCTATAAGATGTTCTTGATGCCTCATCGCGAGCTCGGCGCCACCGTCTCTCTAGCCGTCTCAGTTCTCGCTTCAGCTCTCGCAGCTCCTGGGTATACCAAGGCGCTCGCCTAACACGAGTGTGGAGAGGGCGCCTGGGAGTGATCTTGTTGATGGCTGAGGAGAGCCGGACATGCCAGTCCTCCACCAGCTCATCCAACGAGCCGCCAGGGGGCCTCGGATCCCACAGGGCCATCTGGAATTGCATTGGATCCATTTGGCGCCCCAAGCGAGCAAAAATCCACTCGCCACCTAAACAAGGTCGGGGTGGAACATTCAGATGGGCCTTCAGGGCGAGGTGGTCCGACCATGGCACTGCTTCTGCAGTGATCCGGTCCACCGTCACCCCCGCTGTGAAGATCAAATCGAGCATGTGACCAGCCCGACGCATGGGAGCTGAGATGAATTGAGAGAGTCCAGTGCCGCCATGGACGACACCAGGTCCGTAGTCCAGCTGGAGGTCGCGTCCTCGGCATGGACGTTGAAATCACCCAAGACAATCAGCCTAGGGTGCTCCAACACCCAGCCTGATACAGCCTCCAGCAGGGACGACAGGCTACTGGCCGGTGCGTTAGGCAGTCGGTACACCAGCCAGATTGCCAAACTCTCATCAGCCTCCAGCATCAGACCGACACACTCCATGCCCGCGATCTCCACTGATGGAAGTGCCCTGAAGGAGTAAGCATCCCGAATGAAGACAGCCACTGCTCCCCCCCACCCCCTAGTCCGTGACTGGTGGAGGACTGAGAACCCGGGTGGGGCAAGCTGGGTGAGAGCTACCGTTTCACCCTCCCACACCCAGGTCTCAGTTATGCACGCCAGGTCAGCTCATCATTCCTGTACAAAATCCCGAAGGATTGTAGCTTTGTTGTTAATAGACCTGGCGTTGCACAGCACCAGTGACGGAGGGGGGTTCTCCATCCTGGCCCCACTGCCGACCATCCTTGGGATGGGCCGTAGGCTGGAAGGGCGCCGAGCCACTCTGTTTCTCTGCATCCTTCCCTTAAAGCCCCGCCTAGGCCCACCGCAAAACTTCCCCCGTCCCAAGAGCACCAGAATTTGCTGACCAGACATTTATTACACTGGTGGTCTCCGCAGTGCATCAGACCAACCAATAGAGAGAATGACTGGAAGTAGCAAAATCCACTCCTAAAGCAACAGATTAAACACAGCGTCCACAGCTGCCAAGGGTACAAGGGTCCCGCCACCGCTTCCAGCAGTTAGTCCTAGTTCTGATGTCTTAATATCTGCTTGCCACCTTCTCTGCTCCACGTGTGCACTCCAATGCAGGGTGCAAGATCTCTAATTGCTTTCCTGCACTGTAGAAAAGCAGTTCCTTTGGGGGGGGGAGGTCATAAAAGTCTTTCTTAATCATGGTCTCCCCTGCTGCTTCTCCGATGCTGTATGTGTAAGTATCCCTATGTAAGGACCATAGAAGACTGAAGGCCAGTCTTGTCAACTCTCAGAGGCTTGTGGGGCTTTCCCAGTCCCACCATAACATCTTAACACAATTTCCCTCATAGATCCAATCACATGAAAAGTTTCCATGCCTTCACCAGGTGTTCCTTGAGGCTTTTGCTGCTGCCATAGAAACTCTCCATGTGACCCAGAGAAGTCTCAGGAGGATGGAAGCATCTTACTATAGAAGCATCTTACTATTCCAATAAGACAGCATGTAAGCCACCCCTAAATGTGATCAAGGAAGCAACAAAAGTTGTTTGTGCCTCTTTTTTTTACAAATAAACAACTTCTGAGAAACCTGAAGTGAATCACTTCCAACCAAGCACTGCATTAAGCCTTTGAACTTTAAACCTTCATAAGCAAAAAATTCAGTCAGCAGTGCCAAAGGTATAAAAGTTAGCTTTTTAAAGGGGGGTGGCTATTATGGTAATGATGTTTCTAATAAATCTCTAACAGTGAGCAACAGAAATCTTCCCCTTCATTCCTCCATTACAAATGTAACCAAGATCCAGTTGGCCAAGGCAAGCTTGGGTTCATTTTTGATGGTAGGAATTAGATCTGTCCCTTTAGAAAATAAAATAAAAATGCTATGTATCTTTGTCCTTTTTTTAAAAAGCACTTTTCTATATCTTAAAGCTATATGATAGAGCTGCCTGCCTACAACACGAAGGTGGCCATGAAAACTGGCTTCTTGCCTCAGTTTCCTTGAATCTTTTAGTGCATCTTACTTCAACCTTGTCTTAATACACAATTGCTGTGGTTTACACCGATTGATGGAGCCGCGGTGGCTCAAGTGGTTAAGACGCTGAACTGCAGGCTGTGGAAGGTCAGTAGTTCAGCAGTTCAAGACCCGAGTTGCCGTATGACAGAGTGAGCTCCCGTCTCTAGTTCCAGCTCCTGCCAACCTAGCAGTTCGAAAGCAAGAAATTGCAAGTAGATAAATAGGTACCACTTCGGTGGGAAGGTAACAGCGTTCCGTGCGCCTTGGTTTTTAGTCATGCCAGCCACATGACCACGGAAATGTCTTCAGACAGCGCTGGCCCTTCGGCTTTGAAACAGAGATGAGCACCGCAACCCTAGAGTCGGACTCAACTGGCTTTCGAGCAAGGGAACCTTTACCTTTACCTTTCTACACCTATTGAAGGAGATGCTGACTGAACCAAAAAAGAAATCTAGGCAGAATAATATTTTTAAAATGATAAAATTGACTCAGTGGTGATTGCAAGAAAATTGAAAGACTCCCTGCTCAGCTGCACGTTGCCAATGTCACTCACAAACATAGAATTCTTAAGTCACTGTTTATTTTTCTGGTGTCTGCACACAGACAGACATTATTTGAGCAGGTTAGCTGATAGGGCAGCACATCATTGTTCTGTTATCAAATGAACCCTTTCCTAACTATGATTAAGCTCATTTGCAGCAAAAGTCAGCTGTGCACAGGGCTGATTGTCTGGCACCTGTATCATCACAACCACTCACCCCCTAGAAAGGTTTTCCAAGTTTCTTTTTAGTTGGATTTGAAAAAAAACTGAAGTAAAGGAACACTTAAATCAATAAATTTCAAGTGGTGCATTAGAAAAGGCAGACAGCCTAAATGAAGCATAGGAACAGATGCAAGCTAGACAACTGAATTAGCATTTGTATCACTGATAAACATATCTGTCCAATGCCTGGTGAAAAGTGAGAGGAAAACATGCAGTTCTATGGAGAAACCTCCCTTCCAATGAATCCAGTTCAAAACTACTTTTGTATGCACTCCAGCAATCAGATCAGAATTATATGCCATTGAACTGGAGGGGGGTGTGTGTGTTCCATGTGGCTTGCATTCTTGTATCTTGTCTACTTTGATACAGAAGATGTGATAGATCTGATTTGGGGCGAAATTTTGATTAGTCTAATTTGTGAGAAAGACTGCAAGAGTTACTTGTTTCAGTTGTGCCCATCCTAATTTTTCAGGCATTACAGTTTTCTTTTCCCCTGAAGATGTTTTTTAATGTCTGTTCAGAGAGGGCAAGTTAATGGAGAATTTGGTCCACTTCATGTGGAGAATAGAATGGTGAAGAAGAAGAAGAAGAAGCAGGTATCCAAGTAAGAAAACATTAGGCTAGTGGTGGCAATAAGACCTGAAACTTGGGAGTGCTTTGAGGACACAGAACACAGACTGAGCAAGGAGGCTGGTGGAATAGATCACTTGTCATTCCTTTAGATAAGGTGGCATTTGGTGACAAAATATTAGTATCTAGAATTCTAAAAGTTCTGCTTGTTAATATGACCAACTTTTTTATATTTACACTTTCATGAACTGTGTGGGGTTTCTGCATTTGAAAAGAAATAGTATTCACTTTTACCTTCAGCTATATTTCAGAGGAATAAATTGTAATTATTTGGAGATTCTGCATGCCCACTGATTGCACTTAATCTCATTTTCTGTTTTACTCAAGGTCCAGTTGAAAAGCGATGAATCAAAAACCTTTGCTATGAAGATACTGAAGAAACGCCACATAGTAGACACAAGGCAACAGGAGCACATACGCTCAGAGAAGCAGATCATGCAAGGGGCGCACTCAGATTTTATTGTGAGGTACTGTCATTTCCCTCGCCAAAACCCACTTCCCCATGCGCAGCAGCATACATCGCACTTTTTACAAGGGTTTATGAAACTGGTACATAGATTATTTCTCATCTGATTTAAACACTATAGTTCACTTTTTAGAAGTGCTCAGAGGCACTAAGTGGGAATGCAGCCACTGTGCTAGAGCTGTAATTCTTAACAATGGATTCTTAATATACTGGCACAAGTTATACTACTCTCAGGGCAACTCAAAAGCAGAGGAGATAATGCAACCGTAGACGCTAGGAGAAATGAAAATGGGAAGTATGATGAGTGCAAGGAAGACGTAAATCCTTCCCTATCTATCTTTCAAGAGAGATCTAATTCTATATATGAATGACTTGCAGAAAACTGTACAAATGGCTATAAAATACACACAATGCACAGAAATGCTTTTTTTGGTTGCTTCATCCAAGCAAAACCAAACCACATGTTCATCAGGACACATGAAATTATTTCCTGTACCTCCAAGTGGGCAGAACTATGGTAGGATTGCATAGCTAGCTCCTAGTTATATAAAGTTATATATATCTTTTAGGTTTTTACCTTATATTTCCACCAAAGGTTGTTAAGGTGACTTATAAGAATACTGACCTGCATCTATAGTCTACAGATGGTTGGATTCTTATCCTCCTTTAGGCCATTGCTGCCACTGATTACAGAAACCTTCTATTGAGGATATATGAAATACTAATATTGCAGGAGAAGATTATTCTCTGTTACTTCTTGGGCACTTGACTATCAAAACCACAAACTTCTCTAGCAAAGCAATTTTAAGCAAGATAATAACAGTATTGTTACATGACCCCTGCTTCTCCAGGCAACGAAAAAAGGTTGGTAGCCTCTGGGGGAGAGAGCACTGGAGACTTGTGTGTCTTTTTTTGTAATATCTGCTGTATTTGCAAATATACAAGTAGATCACAGGTGGAAGCAAAAAAGTATTCCTGCAAGGCAGTCATCCCACATCAGAACCCAACACAGAAAGGGAATACCCAGGGTTCTTCAGGCAACACTCAGCAAGTCTCTGTCTGCTTCTAGAACTGGCCCTATCTTCCCTTCAGCAGAAAGGGCTCATCTTCTCCCTCTTCTAATGGATAATTGGCAAAATTATCAGGGGACTATCTTTTAATAGTGACAGCACCCACTGAGAGACATGAACTGACAGTTCTGAGCCAATAACTTAAGTAATGAATGATGATCTGATCAGTCACAGCAATGAGCTAACACAAAAAAAGCCAAGAAATTGTCTGCAGGAGTACCTTCTCCAGATGCCATGCCTTAGAGTCCTTAAAGCATTCTTCCAGAAAGGGAAATTTGCTGCTGAGTGCAGTGGAAGCTTTGGGATTTGTTGCAGACCTGAGGTCAAGCCTGCCATAGAATGCAGGGCATGTCAGAGCCATGTTACCTGCTCCCAGTGGTCTCTTTACATGGATCTTCCAGCATATTCATCCTTTGGGCGAACAGCAGGAAGTTCTTCTTTGATATCCAGATGGTAATGGGCTTTTTAAAAAAATAATGAAATAGATTAGAAAAATATTTTTAGCAGCACTTCTTTGAAAGTGCTGGAAGAAAAGAAAGCACATCTGCTGACATCTCTGTGAAGGATAACGTTGTGTACTTATTAAAAGGACTCAGGTAGAATACATTTTGCCTTCTCAAACAGTCTTGGGAAGTGTTTATTTATTTATTTAGGCATTTCTATGCTACTTTTTTCCCTGAGAGCGGTACCCAAATCAGCCTACAGAAATTTCAAAATTAAACAATATTATAAGAATCAAACAAGCAATGACCAAAACACACACACCTTGGGTGGGTCCTCATTCACTGGGCTAGTTGTCATGGGGTCCAGGTTGGAAGCCTCAGGCAAAGAGCCAAGAGTCCTTTGGCTCATGTCCACGGCTCACACCTCTGGCTACACCCAGACTTATATTACCTGCAGACAGGGTGTCAGCTAGATGTTATATACTCTCTCCCATAGTAAATGGCTCAAAAAAAGCCATACTGTAGTACTCACAGAATACCAACCCCTTTCCAGCAAACACAATGCTGTAAACATAACAAACTGCAGATCCTTTTATTTTGAAATAATTCAGATATGATACAGATCCCATATAGCCAGTTGGAACCAATCCATACATGCAGCAGAATCATGACACTGCTTGCTTCTGGACTGTACCATACTGGTTTATAAGTGGAGAAATCAGAAGTCTGAACTCTGTCCCATAGAAGAAGGCTTTGCATGTAGTTCTCAAGTAGTGGGTTAGCAGAGAACTTTTCTTTCTGACATGCTATTTTCTATAACTATGGAAGTTTTTCTTCCTTGGAGGAAGATTCAAACATGTAAGACTTGATCTGCAGTAAAGAAAAAGAAGGGTTGTTCTAGTTTTGAATTGGTTTATGTGACATAAAAGACCTTTACTGGACTATTAGTAGATCTGACAATCATCTTTCAGTAGTGCCATTGTGCTGTATATGACACTACCACAGAATATGTGAGGCCCTTTATTAAGGTACCATCTCTTATGGACACAATTGGAGCAGGGCCTTTTCAGTGATTGCCCCTTTTTAGAGGAACACCTTCATCAAGAAAGTTTGATTGGCTTCTTCGTTTGCCTGCTTCCAAAGAGAAAAACATTTCTGTTCTGCCAGACCTTTAAAAATGAAACCCCTTTCTATTGAAATTGATTCATATTGAGAAAAAAAACACCTTCTGCTGTCAACCTTGGCTATTGATTGGCTTCTGCTTTTACTGTTTTTAATGTTATGCTGTAAACCACTTTGCAGATTAGATCATTGATAAATGGTGTAAAAATGCTACAAATTAACTAATAAGTATTAGAACACAACTGCCTATGGTGCATCAGACCAATGTCCAGTTCTCTGTCAAGGAAAATTTCCACCTCATGATCCAGTGACTGGACTATTTGGTGTAATTGCAAGGATCTCTGGAGACCAGCATTCCCCCTTTACTGCAGTACATTTATTGTGGTAAATTTTCATCCAGTAACAATTCTGCTACACTGAGAGTATATGGTTTTAATATCTCAAAGCTCTCACATTACTGTTTTTCTTTTGCCCTCCATTATAGGCTGTACAGGACATTCAAGGACAGCAAATATTTATATATGTTGATGGAGGCTTGTTTAGGAGGAGAGCTTTGGACAATTCTCAGGGACAGGTGAGAGATTTCACTTTTTCATGGAAATTGAAATTCATATGACATGCAGAATGGTCACATGGTCAATCTGCATCCTTTTCAGCTAGACTTTGTAAATTCTAAATTATTTCGCAGATGTGTGAAGGTCTGGTTTCTGGTTGAGGACCAAATGCATGTATTACTCATTCCAATAAAACATTTGCATGTCTTTTCAAAGACACAGGAGTCATCCCATTGCTTTATATGCAGCAGGAAAAGAAACATCACCTACCACGATACCACTGAATTAGAAGCCTCCAATTACCTTCTTTCCATTTATCCTCCATTGTTCGTTTGTTAAGATCTTGCTTTTCTCCTTTTGAATAGTAAATCCTTCCCTTGCTTATTCTGTGCCTCTCAGGATTCATCTGTACAAGGCTTATTTTGGAAAATGTTATGCATTCATACAGCACACCTAATCTCTGCAGTCTTTGTGCCCTGAGGGTTTCAACACAAGATGTTACACTCTGTGCACGTGGCTGACAGAGGCAGCTGCGGCACTTGCACAAGCTGGGTAGTCTGCACTACCTGCCTTCGGTGAGGGGGCACCTGCATGCTGGAAAGAGACCTGAGTTATGAAACAAACAGGTCAGTCTTGGCCACACACATCTTTTGGCCGAAGCTGAGAATAGTCCATGTATGGCACCCTGAGCCTGCACGTTTTTCTTAGCTTTTCAGATTTTTTCCTGCAAACTTGGGTGCTCCCCCAGGTTTTCAGAAACATTTCCTCAACTCCCTAATAGCTCTATTGTGCAGGGTTTTTGACTTGCACACTGGGACTAACTTGAGAATTAGATATGTGATGATGCCAACAGTGTGGTAGAGCACCTGACCAGGAATGAAGGCAGGTGCTATGTGGCTGCGTTTTCAATGTATGGGTCCAGCCACAAAGGCAATTGTTCCCAGTCTTGTTACCAGACTTTACCAAAACTATATTACTAAAGTTATTATTAAACCATCTGTTCTGTACTAAGGCCCACTATTTAACACCATCATAATTAGAAACATAGCTTTTTTCATTACAGGCATCATGGTTTCAACCATTTTAACCATAGACGCTGTCATTCTTTTTATCCATGGGAAATATACATTCCAAATTCAGGACGGTGTTTCACCTCCAGCTTTAAACCCAGATCCAACAGGCTGTATATAGGCACCCTGTGGAGTTGGGGTTTTTTTCTTTTTTTACTTTGAACAGAAGTCCTTCATGCCATATCATAAATGGAAACTGCTTTCAGAAGACACTGGGGGAACGGGGGAGCTGCTGCTTGAGGAACCCAAGTCCAAAGCCCTCATGGGAATGGACTAAAAATGTGAAATACAATTCAGAACTGAAAGCCACCAGCAGGTCAGTTACAGGTTGCGGGGGGGGGGACTGGGCAGAGGAATGAGGCCCCTCCCTTCCCCTCCTCTGCCTACCAGGAGGCACCCGTGTCCTCCTTCCCTCTCACCCACTGGCAAGTCTCCCACCTGCTTGTGTGTCCTTTCCTTGTTTCCCACTGCCCCTGTTCACAGCTGCCCGCAGACCTTTCCTCGGCATCACCAGATAGTGCGTGCAGCAGGCAGCATGGGTGACCGAAGGCCAGCAGGTGACTGGCAGGGGGTGACGGCTGCAGTGAGTCCAGCCAGAAACGCTGGGTCCCAGCAGCTGCCCCACCTCAGGGTATGCTGATGTTGGTCCTGGGCACCAGGTTCTTGCTGTAGCTTGGCTTCTTGACTGCATCATTTCCCCCCTCCTTTATACCACACAAAAGTGGTCTGAAAAACTCAGAGAAAACCTGGAGAATGACGACCAAACAAATGGGAGGTGTGGAGGGTGGGGTGGGTACGATGCAGTTAAGACACCAAGAGGGAGCGGAAACCTGTGCAGAAAAACCCAGAGAGACTCCCATTTAATTAAATGGTGCCTTTCAATAATTAGGAAGTATTTTTCAATCATTAGAACATGACTGCGGGGGGGAATTGATAGATGCATACTGCTCATGCAAATGATAAATGATCACCAGGTTAGTTCCCTGTCATGTCTGAAACAGATTGCAAAAAACATTCTTGCTTTTAGAAAGTCTTTTGAGGGGGTCTTAAATATTATTGTAGTTGTTTTTAAGATTTGTAGTGCAGGGAGCCTACATTTTAAAAATGTTTTATGGCTCTGTTTTCATGATTTTATGGCTTCGTTTGGTTGCCCAGTTTTGGGCAGAGAGCCAGTGAATGTTAAACGAGCAGCCATCACAGATCAGCAAACACAGAGGTACTATTCATATCACCTGACATCACTTCAAACAGCAGTTTTCGTTGAAGGCCGTTCAGACATTCAGCTGGCAGCATTTCCTCTTGAGTAATCACGTGATGAGGCACTGCATAGTGTACGCACACATGCATGTTCACGTTCAGTGAGCATAAATCACTGGCCACTTATGGGGCTCCTGTTTTACAGCCACTCACTGCGGAGTGAGTGGCTAGCGAGACGTGGTGAGACATCAGAATGGTCAACTAGGCAGTCAATCAAGACCTTTGTTAGTTGGTTGGTAAACTATGCCAGGCATTCAAAGTATCTTGTTAGATCACTGGTGCATGATTGCTGGCAAGCAGGGAGCTGACACTTATTGTAGCACTAGACTGGAATCAAATGGGATCTGAAATTGTCCCGCAGGGGGCAGGTGACTCATGCTTTGCCTCTCTAGAGGCCACTCTCCAGCCTTAAAAGGGACATGTTCTGTTCCAGAGGCAAGTCCTTTGAGGAGGTTGGAGATGATCTTGCTGCCTCAAGACTTACCATACTGGTAGAAGAGGGTTTTCCATTGCTGCAGATGGCTCTGTGACAGATGTCAAGACCCCTGCCTCTTGAGATTCTTCCTGCTATTCTCTGCAGAGTCTTTGGAGGAATGACCGTTTTAGTAACTAAGGCATAACCCATGTCTCCTCATCCCCAGTTTTCAAATCTTCCCTGTGATAGGGACATATCACAGTCCCTGGTCAATGGTAATCGGTGTCAAAATTTATAGGAAGAAAAAAAGGCTGGAGTAGTAGGTAGGAGAAAAAAGAATAAGGTGCAAGGTAGAGCAAGGAGCTGCGGTGGCTCAAGTGGTTAAGACGCTGAACTGCAGGCTGTGGAAGGTCGGTAGTTCAGCAGTTCGAGACCCGAGTGTGCCGCATGATGGAGTGATCTCCCGTCTCTAGTTCCAGCTCCTGCCAACCTAGCAGTTCAAAAGCAAGAAATTGCAAGTAGATAAATAGGTACCACCTCAGTGGGAAGGTAACAGCGTTCCGTGCACCTTGGTGTTTAGTCATGCCGGCCACATGACCACGGAAACGTCTTCGGACAGCGCTGGCTCTTCGACCTTGAAATGGAGATGAGATTCCGATTCGACTGGCTTTCGAGCAAGGGAACCTTTACCTTTAGAGCAGTCTATTTGACCTTTTAGATCCCAGTGCATTTCACTATAAGCTTCTTCAGGGTTTGTAAGCCAAAACTACTCTGGCTTTGATGTCCATTTGTCCAAGGTGGGGGGCAGAGAAGTTTTTGCTTAAGGTCCCCTGAAGAAGCTTATATGCATTGGGATCCAAAAGGTCTAATAAACTGCTCTGCCTTGCACCTTGTCCTTCTTTTTTGTCCTATCAAAACTTATAGCCAAAGGAAGAAATCATGGAAATAAAAGCAAACAGTAATAGCCCAAATCAGATCACAATTACGGTTTGAACCCAGATTAAATTGGCAATTACCACTAATTCCCCTTCCTGCAGCAGACTCTCCCGTGTTTATTCCTCCATGTCCTCTATCCTCCAGGAGCAGCATTTCTTTGCAGGGGGAGGGGAGAGGCAGGAAAGTCCTATTCTGCCATTGAAAAATTTAGTCAGGATCCAACCTGCACAGCAAGAAAAAGCAAAAAGCGAAAGGGTAACTATTTGGAATAAGTTAATTTTACGATACAAGTTACTTATATAATCACTTTTCTATGGGGTTTTTACAAGCATATTTTATTCTAATTTTTAAAATCAAATTCCATATCTTTAATAAACATTAAAAATAGCTAAGTAAAATCCAATTTACTAAGTACCGTATTAGATTTAGAAACAATAGTTTGCAGAAGCTTTGGGGAAAAGTAGTTATTTTCATCTCATACTCATGGTATCTACTGCCATCTAGCTTTGAATATTATTCATTGTTTACTGACATGGTGTTTGTTAGTGTTATAGTTGGAAACAACTGTGGTGTTAAAATTTTAATTACAATTGCATTCACTTCAAGAATTTTTTAAACATCTTTGACTTGTTAACCAGCTCTAAGTTAGAAACAGAAATGTCGGCCCGTGTCTGAAACTCAGATTCTATAAAAAAAATTCAAGTCGGAGTCCAATGTCTGTATTAAAAATATTGGGAAAATGCAAGACAGAAGATTTTAAATGGCATCTGCTGTTAATAATCCCATAATCATTTATTAGTCTCCATTTAATATATCACTAACATGTTGTGACACTTTCTGTGCTGCAGCTCTGCCTTAAAGTGTTTACTCTGGCATGGATTGAGAGATATGCAAGCAGAAGGGTAGTTGTAAACAAGTCTGCGATGTATTAAGATTTTCTTTTCTCCAGACAGTTCAAGGAAATGTGTAGCATAGTTCCCTGTGTACCTCGCCAATAAACAGTTTTGAAGGAATTTTTAATTGCTGATTGTCATGAAGTCAGTCTTAATGGTTCTGGCTGTTAATAAGAGGAAGGGCTACAGCTCCTGACATCCAACGCTAGTTTGGCAGCTGACTGGAAATAGACAGCAATTATTCCAGACCTGGCAATAGGCTCATTATAAACTAGTGATGTCAATGAGCCACTTTGTTCCCACTAAAGGGGGGGGGCGGGAGTGCAACATGTGGGCAAGTTATTTGTGGCCTTAAAAATTATAAGCTTCCCACAACTGAGCAAACAAGCAGAGAAATATGATTCCATCATAACCCTACAGCTGTTTCGCAGTACGGTTTCTCTGGCAGCCAGTGGGCTTCTACAGTCACATCATTAAAAATATGAAATATGCTCTCCTGACAAGACAAGTCCTTCAGGTGGTTTCATGGGTGTAACGTGCTAAAAATGCTTGAACTGTGACTTCCAGTTTGTAAGATTGAATACGGCCAGTGAGATCAATGCAATTATTAAGAGGTTCCTCTCCTTGCACCCAATGGGGGAGGGCTTGGAGGGGCTGCAACTAATAACAACTGCCTGCCTTTTTCATTGTGTTGGGACCAGCTGAAAAGAATGATATGTAAATGCTTATGCAGCTGAAAGGGTAACATGTTTATTTATGCACAAGTGGAGACCAGTGTTCCCTCTAAGCTGAGTTAGTGCGAGCTAGCTCACAGTTTTTTAGCCTCCAGCTCACACATTTTTGTTTTCGCTCAGGAAGGATGGTTCCAGAGCAGACTAATGTATGCAGCAGTCAAATCGCTCGCTCAGAACTTTAATGTCAGTAGCTCACAAAGTAGAATTTTAGCTCACAAGACTCCACAGCTTAGAGGGAACATTGGTGGAGACCTGTGAGAGCTTGCCCCGCTTCATCCCCTCTTCCTTATCCCCATGATCCCACAACCACTTCTTTCTCACCACACACACACACACACAACTTTCTCTCCCCCTCGGTCACCAGCTTCTCTCTTCCTCTTCCACTCCCCCCAGTATCCCAGGCTTCCTGGGAGGACTTTTGAAGGACAAATCATGTCAGCCCAGACCCATACATCACCTGACTACTAGTGGTGGGCCTCCCCACTGGCCCTCCTCAGCTGCTGGTGGGAGGCCTAGAGTAGACAGTCTGTCCTGCGTACTTCCTGTCCTAAGCCTTTCCCTGCCAGCATCGGTGATGGGGGCATCGAAGGGAAAGCACTTCTGAACCAGACCCCCCTTCCATCAAATTGCCAGCAGTCTGGAGGCGGAGCACACTTTCTGCTTCAAGCCCCTACCCACAGTCCCAGTTGAGATCTTGCAGAACTAATGAGATAGCATTTGGAACTGTGAATAGCAACTTCACTTGAACAGATTTTGCTTCCTCATTTGCGTGTGTGTGTGTGTTAAACTGCTGCCCCCTAATTTTTACATTTTTGGATTTTTCTGCAATCCTGGAGATTCCCCCGAGTCTGTAGAAAAATTTCCCATATCTGTGCATGGCCCCATTATGAGGATTTTTGATCCATACTCTGGAGCCATGTTCAGAATTAGATATACAGATATAGAGAGCCCATCATGTCAGAGGGTAGTGTTGCATGAAGCTGGGAAGTAGATGCCCAAGCAAACTTGTATGTTTTCACCAGTGAGGCAATTTAACATGTCCTCATCCAATTGGCCCCTTCCCTTAGCTGTTTTGGAATAAAATGAAATAACTTAGGAGATCTTATTATCCCTTTTTTCCCCCATATAGAGGTTCATTTGAAGATTCTACAACCAGATTTTATACAGCATGTGTGGTAGAAGCTTTTGCCTATCTGCATTCCAAAGGAATCATTTATAGGGACCTCAAGCCAGAAAACCTCATCCTAGATCATCGAGGTTATGCCAAACTGGTGAGTGCTCAGACATTTTTCTTCTAAGCAGCTAGGAAATATTACCATGTCATGCCCACTGCATTGTAGTTAAAGCTCTGTCTCCTCTTCCATTATAAAATGCCTTCTCTAACGGGTTTATAACAGCCATAAAATAGTGCTTCTGGCTGAAAGGCAGTGTTCAAGACTGAAGTCCCAGGACAAATTGGTTTAGAAAGAGAACTAATAAAAACATATCAATCTCACTGTTTCTGAATTCTAAAAGTGCAAAAGTTAAAGTTTCCAGTTATTGGTTTTAAAGGCCTTCTTACATACTTTCACTCAGAGCTGCCTTCAGGTGTTTGATTATGGTTTCCTTTTCTTCATTAAATTACTTTTTAAAAGAAAAAAAGCACATACCAGTGTCATTTTCTCCAACATTCAGTATTTCTACTGCAGAAATCCTGCTGTATTATTGTTCATTGATTTAATAGAATTAGACCTCAAACCTACTTACTTAATCCTAGCTACATACAAGACTTGCGGAACTCATTCTGTCCTTGAAAAAGAGACCCTTGGCTACAGAAGCAAGGCACAGGCAACTTTTGTGTTAATATATATTAGAATCATCTCTGATATTAACATGTCAATGCACAGACACGTTAGAACCTTGGGCAGAGTAAACCAAATTATATCCAGAAATAGTTGGGAAGGCTCAGCATCAGTTCACCAGTCCTCTTTAAAACTGGGTGTGGGTGTTTGGCACTACTGCAGCATGCCATGCCTTGACTTAGCAAGGCCTAGTTCATTGCTGCTGCACCTCCACTGCCCCCCAAACTAGAAAAGTATCTTTTTCCAGATATTGAAAGTCTGGACACTGAAATTAACACAGGGAGCATGGTAGAATGTAGGAAGGACAAAACATAGGAGCTGCAAGTATTACCTATCTGGCTACAAGTATATGTGTGGAGCAGACAGTGGATTAAGTAACTGGCAGATAACAAATGATCGGAGAACGTAGGAGGAGACAGACACTTCATGAAGTCCCTGTATTTCTGCTGAGGATCCAGTCCTGGCAAAAATGGTATTCAGAAAACTCTAAAATAATTTAATATTGGCATCTAGGGAAGTGCCCTACCAGTGCAATCCTAGAGAGACAAGTTTCTAAGTTGATTGTTGTCTGCTTACAATTGTATTGTAAATCATGGTTAAATAGATATATATATATGGCAGTTAAGCCATATTTCATCAGTTTGGTCCCATCTCATTCCAGCACTTGCATATTGATGGCCTGAATGCAATCCACATGTTGGCTACCACTGCCTCACTTAATTAAATGTTTCAGTTCCCGATAAACTAAAGAATTGTGATAAATTTTTGCATAATTCTCATCTGTTCATCTTACACATCCTTTGCAAATCTTACATCTGAAAAGATGCAGCTCCACGGCTCTCCTTTTTGCTTCTGGGACAGCCAGCATTCTTGCTCTGATAATGTTCCCATGACAAAACTTTCCTTCTGATGTTCTTTATCCTAATCAAAACAGGATCATCTCCTCAAGCCTTTCTGCCCATAGAACTGCTCTGTATATTTTTTCTTCCTTGATGGTGTGTGAACCTTCATTCACAGGTCGATTTTGGCTTTGCAAAAAAAATAGGATTTGGAAAGAAAACATGGACTTTTTGTGGAACTCCAGAGTATGTAGCCCCAGAGATCATCCTGAACAAAGGTCATGACATTTCAGCAGACTACTGGTCACTGGGAATCTTAATGTATGAGCTCTTGACTGGCAGGTATGGGCATTGGAATTGGAGTTGCTGATAAAAATAGATCAGCAAATTAGAGAATATTTCTGCCTTTGTCACTTTGATTAGGAGCACTTGTAGTTTAGAGCTGGCGTATTCCATGATTAGGGGAGGGAAGGTCTGAAAAGTATCCCATTCATCTGTTCATGATTGTTTGAAAACCATCCCATTTAGTCTGTTCATGATTGTTTTGCAGTGCTTCCTAGTCAGTACGCTGATGCATAACAGCTTTGGAACAGCCAGTATAAAGGTTCAAGCACCTGTAATATTAGTTTACCTAGAAGACTGTCTGTATTCACAATCTCCCTTAATCCCCAAGGTGCATGACAGCATTTTGGAATTCTATGACTCCCAGTGTACATTGGACACCACATACAAAAATAATTCTGTTTGCATGCTGTCACAAACCCATCAAATTGTATGCTCAGAGTGGCATGTAGAATGGTTGGGTTCAGTGTGTGGTGGCCACTGCACACCATCAAGGAGCCATGGGCTGGAATTAAGTTCATCTGTTTTTAAATACTTCATAGGCTGCTGTAAAAAGAATGAAGGAAAACCACTATTCTTCTGAAACAAGACAGGAACCAATGGATTCTCACTATAATTGTGTGCATTTAAACTGACTATTAAGAAAAAAATGTCTACATAATTGTAAAACCACCTGGACACTAGGATACATTGCCTGAGGAAATGGTACTATCCTGAAGATTTCGGAGAAGAGTGGCTGCATAAGCAAGTGTCAGGGATGATTTAACTTGAAGGGATACAGCCATTGATTGGTGTAGAATAGATGTGGCATAGTGGGTAGCTTAATGGAACTTAATCCTGGGTTCAAATCCCTTCTCAGCCAAGAATTCTTGTCATTTTTCTCTCAGCTTCACTTCCCATATGTAAAGCGTGAACATGGTCAACCTTCCTTACAGGAGGATGGATTTGTAAAGCTCTTTTAATACCAGAAAGTGCTGTAAACCATGTTGTTGTTGATAACAACAACAATAATAATAGATGACCCTTCACATATCTTCCAGTACTTGCATCTTACAGAATTTAAATTTTTTATTGAATTTAGTCAGTAGGCGAAATAATCTCATAGTGATTAACAGTGCAGTCAATAGGCTTAGAAAGGTGCAACTCGGCTTAGGATAGCACTTCATCTGTAGAAATCATACAGAGGTTCTGTTCTCTGTTTTCCTTTATACAAAAGTGCTGATGTTCCCACTGCTATCCCATAAGCAAACCACTATTTACAAAACAGCACTACAGAAATTGTCACCCCAAGTCCTCTTTGGCCATGATAAGCAGCCTTTCTGAGGCTACCAATCCTTGCAGAGGTTATTTTTCAGAGCAGCAGAGAGCAAAGTCAGAAGTTATGAGGATCTCTGCATTAAGGGGTAAAAGCAGAGAAGCCATATTTTACAAGGATCAATACGTAGGACAGGTGCCTAAGAATATAGATCAAGATGGGTAGCCATGTTAGTCTGTTTGTGGCAGTAGAAAAGAGCAAGAAAAGATTCCAGTAACACCTTAAAGACTAACAAAATATGTGGCAGGGTATGAGCTTTCGTGAGTCACTGCTCATTTCTTCAGATACTCTGTATCTCAAGAAGTGAGCAGTGACTCACGGAAGTTCATACCCTGCCACATATCTCTCCTTATATATAAAAGTCAGTTGGGGTGGCTTCTAACCTATGGGGTGGCAGGATTAATGCGCGGCAAAATCAGTTTGCCGGCTGATCTGTCACTCACACATGGGTCCGGGCCACTGGCTAACTTGCCTGGCTGCTTGGCTCACTCCTGCACACACAGCCGTAGGCCAGCCGCTCACCCTCAGTATCCAGGAAGCTGCCCCATGGGAAGGATGCTGGTGAGGGGGGAGGAGGCGGGTGACTGGCCTCACTGGCCTACCACCATGCCCCGATTACGGTCATGAATGGGAGGGGAGGGCCGCGGCGTGCTTCCCTGGCCCGCCGCGGCCTGGCCCATGGATGCCGCTGGCCCTTCTTCCAGGGGGGCATTTGCCATTCCCTGCGCCGCCCCTGCCGTTGCACCCTGACTCACCACGGAGAATGGGGAGGCCAGCAGCACTGCACTTTCCTCGCCCGCCGTGGCTGGGCCCAGCCAGGCCATGGCCCCTTCTTCAGGGGGATTGGCCTCCACCAGCCTTCCCCACCCCGCCCCCTGCCTTGCTGCCCTGACAGTGTGCCCTGACTGCACTTGGGGCGCTGGCAAAATGGCAGTGCCATGCTTCCCAGGGCCGCCGTGCCTTTGCCCAGCCAGGCCGTGGCCCCTTCTTCGGGGGGGCCACCTCCACCCACTTTCCCTGTGCCACCCCCTGCCTCGCTGGCCTAGCAGCGTGCTCCACCTGAGCTTGGGGAGGCGGGTCATGGCCCCGCCGGCCTTCCCTCGGCCACCACAGCCTGGACCGCACAGCCTACATGGCCGCCTTGGGGTGGGCGGGTTCGTCCTCCACCGGGCTTCCTTCAGCCGCCCCCGCCATGTTGCTGGCTGCCCAACAACTGCACGGGGCCTGGAGAGAGCCACGCCGTGCTTCCCTGGCCCGCCGGGTTCGCCTCCAGCTGCTGGGCCCTCGCCCCAGGGTCTTCCTAGGGCTCGTTGTCTTCACTTTGCAATGGGCTTTGCGCCTAGTTTTGTAAGAATACAGAGTTCTGCTTCTGTAACATGAATATATTACAGCCTCCTATTCATCCAATTTACTCTATGGGATCAGGAGACTTCAGAGAGGAATATGGTATATTAAAACAATTAACATAATAGGCATGTGCAGCAGTGATTCTCATTAAGCAGCAGTTGTTACTAATACCCCTGATTGAGAACAGCTGAGTATTGGCACTGCAGACATAAAAGTTAAAGGAAATATTACTGCATAAGACAATATTTCACATACATGTCGCATCATAAGCCAGGCTCTTTCTTATTTGTGTCAGTAGGCTTTAAGCATGTCGAGAAGGGGTGTATTTAGAAGGCCTATTAATTCCACATAGAGTGATTTATCAGCATGGTTGTATATTAAGATTTACAAGATACTACACACTTTGAAGCCGTCAAATGTATTCTTTCTGAAATTCACGGTTTTTAAAGTGCTTGGATGCTAGTGTCAAAAGCCTCATTCAGAATTTTACACTGACCCCTAACTTTCAGACCCCTGGCATACTTGACCCTTTCAGACACCATATCTGTTTGCATACAGGTATATCCATGATGTCTGAATTGATTGTTTGAACAAATCTTTACACTAAAATACTGGTCTTGTCCTGGGAAAATGCAAGATATTCAAGTGATGTTTCATCTCAGATATATAATAATCAGAACCAAGATCCATCAATCATATGACATACAATGATATAGGCAGCTGTGGTGGTGGAAAGTGCCGTCAAGTCACAACTGACTTATGGCAGCCCCCGTAGGGTTTTCAAGGCAAGAGACATTCAGAAATGGTTTGCCGTTGCCTGCCCCTGCATCACAACCCTGGCATTCCATGGAGGTCTCCCATCCAAATACTAGCCAGAGGTGACCCTGCTTAGCTTCCAAAATCTGATGAGATCAGACTAGCCTGGGCTATCATAATTGCCCTGATGCTGTATAAATTACGAGTTTAAATCCAGTGACGCAAACAAAAAGCAATACATATGTTATATCAAAGAAACGAAAACATTCTGCATTCTGTCTTACACAATTAAAACAATATGAATATAATCATATACGAAGCTTTAAAACATGTCCAACTTGGTCTAAAGCTGCAAATATATATAGTTGATGCCAGAAAAATGACCCATTGAAAATAAAATGGCATCCTTAGTTATCTACGTACCATACACGTACAAATTCTGTAATCCTGAACTAGCTCCTCCCCTTGTGCAAGCAGATGGACAGTTGCATTTGGGAGAGCGTAACTATCTTCTGTTTTTTTTTCCTTCTCAGAACATCCTGTCCTGCTTCCAATTGGAATGGCTGGAGGGGGGGGGGGACAGAGTGCTGCTGCAAGAACAGTGGAGGCATCAATAATATGTCCAGCAAGCTGAGCTTCACTTGCTGTTCCTTAGATCCAATCTTTACTCTTGTGGCTGTCTTGCTGCAAGTGTTTAAGAAATCCTACCCTTCCACCTGAAGCTGACCGGTTACCTGTTTGCTGTGACAGATCCCTTCACATGATTTCCTTGGGTCCTAAAAATGCTGTTCTGTGTACTTTTGGGGATGGAAATGAGGGGAGTCTATACAGAACGGCAAAGACACACACTCCTATGTGTGCCCCATGCATATGTGGTAGTGGTGTTTGTAGAATAGCACTCGAAACAAGAATCAGTGAAGCGCAAAACCACTACCAGGGTTCTCCTATGAGTATTTACTCTTCTAACTCCAGAGTAGTTATTACATTTGTGAGACCAGTTTTACCTTGGTAGTTCTTGTGGCTGATCATACCACGTACCACTTCATTACTTTTCAATATATGATACAGTAAATAAATCCATGATTACTCAGTTGTGCTTGGTGGATTCACATTGTCATCCCATGACCCTAACTGACTGTTTGGAACAGTAGTAATATTAGCTGGAACAGACCTCATCCAAGTAGCCTTGGCCAATGGGACAGTTATTCAAACACAGATTTGGAGGGGGGGAATATTGCAAAAGAGCCTTTAAAGAAGAGTTTAATTTTGTTAGGGCATGATAGGTCATATCTACCAAATGTATGAACTGCTTCTGCTGCCTCATTTTATAATCTCATATGACATTTTAAAAAACGGACTTTAACTCTGCTTTTTCTCCTCCTCCTCTAGTCCACCTTTCTCAGGCCCAGACCCCATGAAAACCTATAACATCATATTGAGGGGGATTGACATGATTGAATTTCCAAAGAAGATTGCCAAAAATGCTGCTAACCTAATTAAAAAACTATGCAGGTAAACGCTTTAAATGCATTTTGGGTCTTGTCAAGACAGAAAGCATGCATACCAGTAACACTACCTCCAGACGTCGTTTTGTCACTCTACTCTGTTGACCTTTTTTGCAGGGACAACCCATCAGAAAGATTAGGGAACTTGAAAAATGGAGTGAAGGATATTCAAAAGCACAAGTAAGTATGTTCCCCAAGAGGAAGATGATGATGATAATGATGTTGTTGATGATGATGATGATGTATATGGCACCAGAACTACGATGATGATGATGATGTATATGGCACCAGCAGTGCACATAAGGAAACAACAGGGCCCTGCCTCCAGGAGCCTGCAGTCGGCGAAGAACTGAGGCAAAAGGGATAAGGAAGAAGATGCATCATGTAGTGGTTAGAGTGTCACACTAGGAGCTGGGAGACCCAGGTTCAAATCCCCATTATGTTATGGAAGCTTACTTGGGCCTCCATCAGCCTACTTTGCAGGGTTGTAGTGAGGATGAAATGAAGGAGAAGAGAGCAATGTAAACTGCTTTGGGTCCCTGTTGGGGAGAAAGGATGGGAATAAATGAAGTTAAAAAAAAATTAAACGCAGTAACGTAATCTGCTTTTATTTCAGTAAGGGCATTTTAAAACTCTCACTTTGTTGCCTACCTATGAGGCAACTGCATCATTCATAAACCTTTTCTGTACAATTAGAGTACAGTCGATCAAATATTTCTTTTTTGCAGTCCCCTTGGATTTTGACAGGGCAGTGAACTGAGCCTTTGTAGCAACCCCCCCCCCCCACAGCATGGTATCTGTTGACCTGACTGCACAGTGACAAGACCACCAATGGAGGAGCAGGCACCAGTCAGTATAATGCAACGTAACTGGATGATATACAGTACTGGTGGTATTTGTCAAAAAGTCAGTTTTTCCTTGAAGTTTACCACATATAAAGAAGGCACATGGTTTTTGTTCCTATATGTTGCACAAAACCACATATCAGTATTAACTTCTTCTTTCTCCATCTGTGACATGTATCTGTTTTTACCCAATGAATGAACTCTGTAACCTGAAAATCTCAAATCCCAGAAAAAGCCCTTTATTACTTCACACATTTCCTTGGAAATCTGTACCTTATTCAGCCTGAGCAACAGTTGATTCCAATTCACTCAGCCACACTGAAATGATGTGATGTTTAGGTTGAATAGATCAGTGATAACTGCTGGCCACATGCTGAATCTATCAACTGCCTGCATGCTTAGTTTGAAATTCAGCCCACGTTTATCACATTACTGAGAAACTTCCAGAAGTTTGGTAGCTTAACAAACTCTGGCTAAATTTCCACCTGAACAAAAATCCACTTGACTTGACTCAAAATTAGCCCTTAGGCCTACAGGACCGGAATATGTGAATTAGCAAAGTATGGATGTAGTCAGAACCGTTTATTGTGATTATGGCAGTCGATCCAATATTAGTTTCTTCATGGCTCGGGTCACACGGCACTGTAAATGCGCCTTGTTCCTGCTTTAATTTAAACAGGAATATTTTGTTCCGGTTTTGCATGTTTACACCACCCCTCAAGAGCCATCCCTCTTACCGGCTGCTCGCTGTCCCCATCCGGCGACAGCAGCAGCTGCTCCTGGGCAGCCACGGGGCCATCCTTGCCATCGGCCCAGTCGCCGCCGGCCTGGCACGCCTTCTCCCGGCGCTTCTGGGCCAGCAGGAAGGCGAGCGGGGCGGACGCTTTAACGTGCTGCTTGGGCGCCATCTCCACCACCTGCTTGCCACCCCCATCCAGGCTGCTGGAGCCCCCACCTCTCGTTCCTGCCTCCACCAGGATGCTGTAAGCACTGCCTTTAAAAAAAAAAATTCTTAAGTGCATGTATGGCCATGCGCTGAAACCGGAAGCTTTTTTTTTTTTAACCAACCCAGAGAGTGGTCAGATGGCCCTATTCGCAAACCTTTCGCAAACATTGCGAAAGAGGGCTGTCCATATAGGCGAAATCGCGCATTCAAAGCGCGAGAGCCAGGAAAGTACTTGATTTTCCCGGGGTCAGGAAAACCCGCGAGTATTGCGAGAGTAATGCGAAAGTCAGCCTGCTTTGGTGCGGGAGGCGGATTGGCGCATGTAAACAGAAACTTTAAATGCTGGAGTAAACAGCGGCGAATCCTGATCAAAGGGACAGTGTGACCGCACCCCATGTGAGTGCGTTTCTTGGACAAGTCAGGACTGCTTACTTGAAGAAGAATGTTAATCACGAGCAGTCCTTCAGTGGGTGCAAATCACTGGGATGCCGACTGGAATGGAATGCTGTGAGAAAGAAATAATAGTTCTCCAGCCCAAGTGATCAAAAGGCTATCAATGATCCATCAGGATCCATAGGTACCACAGGACTCCTTTGTGGGTTTAGTCCATGGGCATGAAATCTTCAAACAACACAAGCAAACTTTGTAAATTGTTTGATTCCTTGCAGGGCCACTTGCTACTGCCTCCTTTTGCCATGTTGTTCTTGTACTGGGTACATCTTTTACATCTGCTTTTTTTGTTTCTTCTTTTCATATTTGTCCATAAAATGCACTTCTTTTATAAAGTGAGCCTTGCTGCCAGCACTTACCTTTCTTTTACTGTATGCCACTCTTCCTAGTCAGATTTTGAGCCCTCTCTGCAAACCCATGTCAGTTTGGGTTTGCGCCTTGTTTCCGCTTTAATTTAAACGGGAATATTTTGTTCTGGTTTTGCATGTCTACACCACCACCCCAAGAGCCATCCCTCTTACGTGCTGCTGGCTGTCCCCCTTGCCCTCGTCCCCATCTGGCGACGGCAGCAGCTGTTCTTGGGTGGCCACGGGGCCATCCTTGCCATTGGCTCAGTCGCCGCCAGCCTGGCGTGCCTTCTCCCGGCACTTCTGGGCCAGCAGGAAGGCGCGCGGCATGGCGCGGGACGCTTTAATGTGCTGCTTGGGCGCCATCTCCACCACCTGCTTGCCACCCCCATCCAGGCTGCCGGAGCCCCCACCTCTCGTTTCTGCCTCCACCAGGATGCTGTAAGCACTGACATTTTTTTTTTAAAAAAAAGAAATTTCTTAAGCGCATGTATGCCCATGTGCTGAAACTGTTTGTTTTTTGGTTTTTTTTAAAAAAAACAACCTACAGAGAGTGGTCAGATGGCCCTATTCGCAATCATTTTGCAATCATTGCGAAAGAGGGCTGTCCATATAGGTGAAATCGCGCATTCAAAGCGCGAGAGTCAGGAAAGTACTTGATTTTCCCGGGGTCAGGAAAACCTACGAGTATTGCGAGAGTGAGCCTGCTTCGGTGCGGGAGGCGGATTGGCGCATGTGAACAGAAACTTTAAATGCTGGAGGAAACAGTGGCGAATCCCGATCAAAGGGACAGTGTGACTCTGTTTCATTCAGCACTTTGCAAGCAAGTGAAACTAAACAAATGTTAAATAGATAGTTGTGATTCAAAATCAGTAATTTATGCTGGCATTGCAGAATTCCATCCATCACTTTAAAAAAAAAAAACCCAATGATGCAAAATATTAATGGCTGTGTATCTGTGCCTTGAGGATTTGAAACATGTTGTTTTCTAGGCTATCCAATTCTACTGCAGTGGCATCTGTGCCATCTGTCTCCCTGTCTGAACTGAGCATTTTCCTCTCTCTAGGTGGTTTGAAGGCTTTAACTGGGAAGGTTTAAGAAAAGGTACATTGACACCTCCTATAATACCAAGTGTGAGTACACTTTTAACCTCTATATTTGCTTGTACATCCTAATTGTGATAGCAGAACCAGTGAATGGGCTAAATGGCTGGGAACGGTCACTGGCACAGTCATCAGGAGGTTTGGATCAGAATAGCATGTGTGCCTGTCTCAGGTGGTTTTCCCATTGCCATTGTTGTCAGCAGTGTGGCTGGGTTGCAATTGCTGCCCCTGGCATTGAACTCATTGGTAATGCACTTGATCATGCATCAGAACTCGCCCACACATGCAGAAGCCCTGAACTGAGATGCCTCTGTAAATAACTTTTCCCTCTTTATTAAAGTAAAAATACTTCCCCCGCCCCCCCTTTCCTAGGCAGGTAACTTAAAAACTCTTGTGTGTTTCTTCTTTTGTTCCTCCTTCCTTTCTCTCACCATCATGATCTTTTATTTTGTTCCTATCTGGCAAAGTGGGCAACTTGTCAGGTTCTTGCAAGCCTACACCAGTCCCTGAGGCTATGCTTTGGCTCCCAGAGAAAAGGCTTTTTTAGTGTCAGGCATGTTGACTCAGTATATAAGCCACACAACTGCCAATTCCCATGGTGATCCCCGTTATTCCCAGTTGTTGATCAGACTTGATGTCACAGTCTGAAACAGTAGCACAAAAAGTCTTTTCTATGCAGTAACACCTGTACACACACTCACAGTTTAGCATGCTAGCAATAAAGCTGCTTCCAAATACAGTATTTTGCAAACGATTGGCTCTGTACTTGGAAGTACTGGCTACCTGAAGGCTGTATGTTCAAGTGCTGCTAGTCCAGATGGACTGAAAGAATCGGCTCAGGTGACACAGCAACTGTTGTATCAGAGCAATTACAGCAGCCTGAGGGGCAAACTACATGAGACGCCCAACACGTTTTGGGTCCCAGGTATACGACTGGACTCTCAGTTGTACATCAGGGGAATACACCTTAAAGAGCACTCATTCACTCAGCACTTAAGGTGAGTTCCCCCCCACGTGCGTCTCACTGAGTCTGGTCACGCATCCATGACCCAATGTGTGACAGGTGTATCATGTAGTTACGCCCAAAAACTCACACAAGAGGGACTTCTTGGTTTGGTGCCATGGTCACTGCAACAAGACCAACAATGGGAGAAAACCATCCAAAGGAACTCTAGGACACAGCTCTCTTGTAACCATTAGGCCTGGGCCCAATTGGGCTCCCTAATTTCACAGCTTTGTTCGTAGGCTACTAAGGAAACCCTCTTCCTTTTGATCAAGATGGGTAGCCATGTTAGTCTGTTTGTAGCAGTAGAAAAGAGTCCAGTAGCACCTTAAAAACTAACAAAATTTGTGGTCAGGTATGAGCTTTCATGAGTCACTGCTCACTTCTTCAGATAATGATGCTTTTGGTGATGCCCAGGGGAGGGTGTTGCAATCAGAGGTAAAATATTGCCATACAGCATAGGAGAAAGGTTGCCACCTCTCTTCCAGCATTTTCACTTCAAGGAAAGTCAATGGAAAGGAAGGAATGTGTCACTCTTTTGCCTAGGCAGTCTTCCCAAGTTGGGCTACAACAATTTAATGGCCCTCCTTCACAGCAAAGTAGCAGTGTTAGCAGCAACCTAGGGCAAATTGGCAATACCACTTTTCACACTACCTCACTGACAGTCTAGTGTCATCCTGTCCACTATGTGATCTTTGATTCACTGGGACACACAGGGGAAAAAATGAAATAGTGCAGAAAGGGGGAACACAGCGGCTCTGAACAGCCATGAAGAAATGAGAAAATAAGGTACATTCAGGGGATTCAAATGGGGAATTTCCACCCCCAAAACTTGCCTTTTGCCTTGAAAAAGTTCACAAGCAATTTTTAGGCTTAGTCTTAGTAACTATATTCTACCAGATGCACTGGGAGGGGGGCTTTTTAATAAATGAAATAAATACATAATGGAATAAAAATAAATGGAAATATATTAAAAACTCTACTTGTTTGTGATATGATTCCCCCTCCCTTTTTATAAATTCCTTTTTTATTATAAATGGTCAGCTAGGTGATCTGAGATCTCAAAAAATTATTTTCTGTATTACAGACCTAATCAAAACAAGCATCAGCTTTACAATAGAGTATAAGCTGATTTTTTCACGTTTATGAATAAGCTTTGGATTTCCTTTGTGTGTCAGGTTCAGATTCTCACTCGCTGCAAATTTCACTTTAAATATTTCACTTTTGTGATTTCAGCAATTCACTGTGGCACTCCTGAACAAAACTGAAGCAGTACATTTCCTACCCTCCTTCCAACAGTGTGATATACTGGAAAGCAGTCCATAAATTATGTAATTCCAAAGAACTAATAGTAAATTACAAATGCAGAAATAGCAAATAAGCATTATTTCCAAGTGTACAGAATCGGTTTAGTATTGCATGAGCTCATGAATATCATTTTCTGCAAACACTGGGTTCCATTCTCTCTTGGCGACTGTACTACTGTAAATGGACACTAGCATATGAAACTCTTGTTCATTTCCTAGCTTTTTAAAATATGATGTTTGAAACTCTATCTGATGAGCATGAATTCGCAAGAAGCAGTATGTATGGGCATAAGAAAGTCATAGATTTGAAAGCAGAAATCTGAAAATGTTCTAAAGATTCCAGACAAAGCTTTGGAAGCCTCAAATACCAAAAGCCTCATTTTCTTCATTGGACAGGTTGCATCTCCCACAGATACAAGCAATTTTGATAGTTTCCCTGAGGACAACGATGAACCACCACCTGATGACAACTCAGGATGGGACATAGACTTTTAATGTATCTCTCTTACCTGCTTCTGCCTTGCTGAAGACAGCTTCCTGAGATATGGCTGCCAGCAGACCTGAAGGAATTGGGAAGGATTAGCGCTCGGGGTCACCATGATGCCTTGATTGATGCTGCTACAGTAACTACAGTGGCATTAGGACTTATCGCTTAGATGACAATAGTGCTCTTCACATGTTTTCTGTTTGAACTTACCATAGCAGTTGACATGGTGGTCCTGAAGCAAAGCCTTTTTCACTGGTAAATAAATGTGTTTTCTATCACTGTAATGAATTTGCTATGCTCCAGTCATAATTTGAAAGTTGAGTAAGATGCACATACTTCTAGCTGCAAGATCGTTTTTCTTTATTGTTTTAATTCTCAATAACGAAATACTCAGTACTGTAGTTTATTCTACACTGTAGAATCTACAGTCTAGAATCTGGGGTATTCCCCAATGGCAAAATGACTCGGGGAGGGGGTGTCTCTTCAAGGAGGCCGATGTACAAAGGACCATGAAGCGATCGGTCGAGGAGCTTATGTCAAAGCAGCGCTATAAGTTGTCTTTCTTTTCAAGCAGTATTCATGACAAGAATGAATGTTACCTTTTCCCCATTTTTAATTCCTGATGTGCTTTTCCCCCCCAAACTGATAACAAAAGCACAACTGCTACAGTTTTTGTTGAACTGTTAAGGCAGGTATGGGTCGGTTTGTTCTCGGATGTGTCTGGGAACACAGTATATCTAACATTTAATTTTGTCGGTACAGCTACATAAAGCATGTAGAAAATTATTCTTAAAACTACTTGTTTTACATACATATATATAAAATGTCTATGTTATACACACACACACACACACATGCACACAAAGAAAATTATGCTTATAGAAAGGTTCTAGAAAGGAAATGACAGTGGCCAACTGGTCTAATAGGCATGAACACTTAGCTTAAAACTACACTTACCTTTTAGAGCCCAATGAGGGAACATGCAAAACCCCCACTGCATACTGATATGGGTGCTATGTACATTTCTCATCTGTGAAACAACCAAACATCCACAGTCATTTCAGGAAAAACAATGTAGCACGAGAAAAGAAACACAAAATATTGTTTATATATTCAATTTTGCTTCCGCTCCACAGCATTGCCATCATTTCTGTTTTGTTATTTTATTGATCCTCTTGATCCCACAGCTATCAGGCTATATTTGTTTATTTTTTTGTCTTTCAAAAGATAAGTAGCTCAGTTCTTTCTGTGAAGCATAATAATATAACCTTATAATTCAGTCTAAAACATGGAGCTAATGCAGCCAAAGTGGAGCACTTTGAAGTGCCACTCATTTCAAAGGAAGTGCTTACATTTCTCCTGTGGGAGTCAATGCATCTTTAAAATGCTTCTCTTTGGGTGGATTATACTCACCAGGCAGGAATCTTCTGACATACCCATGTCACTGTATTGACAGTAATAGATTACAAACATATAAAGCAATGGTAGCAATCTTAGTAAAGGGCATCCCTCCTCCCCATGCGTGGCATCAACCAGCAACTGTACACTTCCAGTATACTTGCGCCTTTATGCCAAGTATTGTAACTGCTAAAGCATCCTTGCAGATATGATGAAATGTTTGTAATTAGTTCCAAAAAATTTTTCCTACTTTCTAGATATCATCACATAATATGAAATGCCCCTGAAAATATACAACACTACCCATTCATTCAGGCACTTTCATTCACCCATTCATTCTGGTTGCAGCTGCACCACCAAAGTCTAACAACCTTCTCTTTCCTCTGAATCCAATTATAGCCCATTTTCATTTCATTATTGACCCTTATCTACTCATTTAGTCAGTTTCTGATTTTTTGTGTGTATGTCCACATTTCTCCTAACCTATGGTGATGACTCTTTGCTTTCATTGTTGCTGCCAGTGCAGAGGTAGTGATGATAGAGCTTCCACCCAGGGAATTTCCTGTGGTGAGGCAATGAATTCCCATTCCAACTATCCTGCTCCAACCATCTTTCAGTTCCTCCTCTCCATTTTTTCCCCAGGCAATCTAGACTAAACTGCTTGCACCTTTTCCCTTATACTTCTACAATAAAAAGGGCTGGAGACTTAATTTTTTTGAAATTATTTTTAATGTAAATGAGAATTTGAAGGAACTACTATTTTAAATCGGAAAAAATATAAGTGGTAAGAGATCGTTATAACTTTATTGTACTATACTGCAATGGCAACTAAGAGTTTGTTTAAAGTCCTGCAAAAAAACCAAATCTTGATGCAGCAGGAAAGTTGTGCCCATGAGGAGTGGTAAGAAAGTGGTGCCAATGTGGGCGGGACCAATTACAGCACCACATCATGCAGAAATGCCAAAAAAAAGCCCTCCGCTTTGGAGGGCAAGATTGAGGTATAAACTTTCATCTAAAAGCAACCCTGTGCCTCTTTCCATTCCACTCCCCTACTTGCTTTCCAGTATTTTGCCCCACCATTCCCATTCTATAGTTTGTGCAAAGAGAATTCCTCCCCCCCCCCCCCAACCCTGAATTACAAAATATATTGGGAGTAGCTCTTGATTTTCCCCCAGCCAAGACACTTTGGTGCAATGACTTCTTTACTAGCTCAATAAAAAACACCTGCCTAAAAAAGGAAAATCTGAATTTTTTACAAATTAGCAGCTTCTTAGAACAATATTTTCAGTTAACCAATGCAACCAGTCTTCTAGTCATCAGTAGAGGTACAATGCACTGAAATTTTCCTTGTCACAAGTTTGAAACTAGCGTATGTCTGTGTGGAGTCATTCCTGTTCAAGCTTTAGAGCAGATATGTGGGCTCATTTCCACCCTGTGCTGTCATTCAGCTCTGATACCCTGAAAATATTTTATGTATTAAAAGAATATGATGGCATATTGCTCATACACACCAACCAGGAGTATGAGTGATTGGACACCATGTTATGAAAAAGAACATGCTGTTTCAGGCACACATAGGATCACATGGCAATAGAAACCAAGCTTACCAGCCATGTGATGGAGCAGGTAAGGTCACATGCATGCGCACACAGACACACACACAACTCTGCTTGCAGTTTCTTACTGGATATTTAGGGCTGAATTGGCCTGAAAACTGAGTGCATAAGTAGGAACTACAGGGCTCTTTCTTCCAAGTCGGAGAACAGCTAGACGGAAACGTTCCATTTCCAATACACTGGGTAGTCCAGAACCAACACAGGTTCCTTAGTATAAAATCTATCAATTGTTTTATTTCTAAAAATTTCTTCAAGTTATACATAAAAACCATAAATATCACAATTAGAACACAACAGAACAATAAATCAAGTAATAGAGAACTTCCACTGCTCGATCCACTCCAAAGCATCAGGATGCCAGAGGTGCAATTTCATGTCTCCCCCACCCTGAGCATGTTTTGTGCAACCAGTATTAAAGAATACACATTTGTTAGCTTCTGTAAATTTGTGTTGTTCAAAATCAAGTCAGCCATTGTGGATAGCACTGCATGATCAAGTTGGGAAATATTAATTTTTGATTGTGTCTTATAAATTGCTATTTTGTAATGGATGCTTTTCTTCTTCCTGTGTATGGAAAATCTGGGGCCTGGATTTTTTTTTGTTTCCGCTGAGGAGGAGATTTGCTTTGATTTCATCCTTTGCCAAAAAAAAAATTAAACTGGACCAGTCTGTGCAGGTGCAGGTGCAGGAAAACACACTATCAGTTTATTCCACTTCAGAGCTATCTCTCTTCTGTTTGGTTTGATTCTTCTTCACACTTATGAGGCCACCCACAAGTTGAACGGATCTTCCTACACAAGTCAACAATTTCCCAGAAGAATTGGAGAACTTCGTTTAATGCAGGCCTCTAAAATAATGCTCAGTTTCAGGATGCTTTACTATCAATATGTAACAAACAACACATAGTATCACTTGTTGATCATGTCGGCCACTTACTAATCCTGTGTGGCACAGCATCTGGCAAGGCAGAATTACTTCTACACCCCAAGTCTAACACTTAATTCTAAACATGTAATGGAAGAATTTAAACACTGTCTGAAGCAGACATGTGATACTAGGGCTAAAACAATACTTTAGTCAAAAGTCACCTTGTTGCTGCATTAAAGCTGGAAACACTTTCACATAATGCTCTCCACCCTCCATCTTTGGCAAGTGATACGGCCACATTGAGTGAACTGAAACGTGAAGCTTGTTCATTTTAATTAATTGACTTTTCCTAGTCCATGCATAAGAACATGCTGTCTCTATCCTAAAGAGTTCTTATGCTAATGCGTCATGCAAGGCACTCAGCTGAAGTCACACACAAAAGGAAAAAAAGATTTATGCAAAGAGAGTGTCCAAATGAGCTTGCGATGAATTATTATGCTCAATCCTCTTCCGTTCGTCCTTCAGTCACACTCAATCATACGTAATTGGTGTGGTGTGCACTTAATACAAATTTATTTTGTCATATGATTAAATCACTTTGCATTTTCTTTACCAAAAGTATTTTAAATAACTTAAAACTAGCATATGTATATTAATAAACCCTGCATTTATAGGTAATATATTTTATTTACATATAGAGAGATAAAACACACATTCACATTTCCACGTACTTTCTCTTACCCAATGCTCCCTCTCAGCTGTGGAGTCTTGTGAGCAAAAATTCTACTTTGTGAGTGACTGATTTGGCTACTGCATAAATTAGTTTGCTCTGGAGCCATCCTTCCTGAGCTAAGACAAAAATGTGTGAGACGGAGGCTAAAAAACTGTGAGCTAGCTCACACTAACTCAGCTTAGAGGGAACACTGCTTACGACTGCTCTACATGTTATTCTTTCCACACCTATTCTGCCAAAACCTGCACCCCGCTTTGTATCTCTAGCTGTAATGTGAGACAGGTACATCACTGTACACCACCAGGTACCATGTTTCTCTGCTCCCTATTCAGCATCATGGAAGCTGCTAGCAGGGGAAAGACGATTTGCCGCATCCGTGTTTTGAATGTGCTTCACATTACAGCTGGGAGTGCAAAATTCACTGCAGGGATGCCATTTGCAGCAGCATCCACGTTGGAAGCGTAACATGCAGCCCATGTATTTATGGCTGCAGTCCTCAAATGAGTAAGATCCATTCACTTCATTAGGCTTTACTCATTAATATATGCTTGAGTTTGGGACTTTTGCTTCCCTTTAATATATGGGATGATGGTGTACTTGTATAAGAAGAAAAATTGCTATCCTATTTAAGACACCTTTTTCTTTTCTTTTTTGCTAAAACTGGGTTCTAAAGATATAAGGAAGCCGTAGCTTATTACAGTGCTGCATTTATTCACATAAAAACTCTTATTTAATAATAGGACCACAAGCAATTATTTATGTAAATAGGTATTTTTCGTGTTGATATTTTGTGGTACTCATAATAGCTTTTGATTTAGAACTTCATGGCATTATTCCTCCATTTTCTTATTTGTAAGGTAATGTTTTTAGCTCAAAGTAGACTTGAATTAATGTCATAATTGTCAGTATTACTGAAACTGATGTCAACTGTACCGTTGTCCATCTGTCCCATAGTTTAAACCATCATCTAGCTGTTTGGCATTGTTGCAAGTGCCTTAAATTCATGGCAACCTATTTAAA